GCATCAAATTCCTAATTCTAATAAGAGATGCACCGATTTAGAATTATGATTCTACGAGAGTACAAAAATACAAATTAAGAAATTGATTATTTTATCAATATCAATATTACAATATGGCAGGAGTAAATTTGAGAGCTAAAAGCAAGTTCATTGGTGAATTCTAGAGAGTTTCTTAAGATTAGGAAAAATGAAAAACAATAAAAATGGGAGAGAGACTAAGAGCATGTTTAACCATGATTTTAGATTGGTTTCAATCTAAGAAAAAATAATAAACAATTGGATTTGGGCTTCTTTTTAAAAGAAACGGATCAGTAGACTAAGTTAATTGGATCGGGTTCAGCTGGACACGTGTCAAGTTACGATTGGGCCGAGACAAAAAAATTATCTGATAATTTTTTTGGGAGAGGAAAAAAAAATCATTCTCGAAACTTCTTTCTCTCTTTTCTCTCGTGTTCTCCGCAGGCGACGGAGAGGAGATTCCTCTCGAGAGGCGATTCGTCGAGAGGAGATGGGGCGATGAAGATGACGAAGGCTTCGTGGGGCGATGACGAAGGCGAGTCGTCGAGAGGAGATTCGGCGTCGAGACGAAGGCGATTCCGGCGATTTGTCTTACCGCGACCTTTCTCCTCGACCTCACAACAAGTCTGGGTTTAGAAGAAGAACGAACTTGCTTCCTACAAAGCCTGAAAGATGTCCGACGGATTCTTCCGGGTGAGTTTTTGATCATCGGCTYTCATGAATACTGCGATTMTTTCTCCTTGAAGTTAAAATTGATGTTGAATGACTCTTTTGTTTCTCCTGTTGTCTCATGATTATTTTCGTTTTGTGGCAGGAAGAAGCAATAGAAAAAGCAMATCAGTTAATTAGCGAAATAGGGAGGAGGAGGGAGGGTGTTACTCCTTTGGACAMGTCAGTCTTTTACACTTTTTGTATCTGTTCATGTTTRTTGTGTGCTAATYTCTGTAAAGACTTTCTACTTAGCCTTTGTCATTGTTGTTTCTTCCTTGTTGCTAATGTATAAATGTATATGCTTGATGAGGTAAGGTCCAAGAGTTGTTGTGGAGAAAGCTGATGAGAGAATTGGAGATACATCTGAAGAGGATGTGTTTGCAGATGTTGTTACTCCTTTGGACAGGTCAATCTTTTTAGTACTGCTTCTGTGTGTTAATCTTCTAAGTAATGAAGATGATATATGATTTTGTGATGCTGTAGTAATGGTGTGTTGATGCTTCTCATTTATTATTGTGTGATGCTTCTTTGATGATCTCATCTGCTTAAGTACTTAGCCTTAATGTCTCTGTTGTCTGATATATTAACAAAAACTGTTACTTAGCATTAAAATAGTACTTAGCATTAAAGTTACTGAAAAAATTTAACTAAATGAGTAACCAAATGTTCAAAAACT